AAAAAAAAAAAAAAAGACAAGTACATACGTTGTGGTTTAGCATTGTTTATATTTTGAATTACAATGGGGTGGGGATGATAAGACACCATGATCTTGTCCTCGATCAGAGGACAGCTGAAGGTCTTAATGCAGTCCTGGGACACCAAGGCACCAAGATGTGGCAGCAGAACTCAATGTAGCCTGTTCAATCAGAAAAGGAATGTGTTAAACGCTGTCAGGTAGCTCATGGAATCTCAGGAGAGGGAGACACCATCTTGAAAGGAGGCATGCTGAATCGATGCAGGCCACTCCTGTGAGGGCGTCTGTCCCTGCCATCTCTGGCCAGGATGTCTGAGTAACTACCTACCATTCTTTTTTCTTTTTTCTCTTTTTCTTTTTTTCTTTTTTTTGTGGGGCTGCCCCAAAGGGCAGACAGGTTTATTGGGCAGCAGCTGGGAAAGTCAGTGGTTGGACTTGGTCACACGCGCCAGCTCGTCCTCCTTCTTGATGGCATAGGAGTTGGAGGAGCCCTTGGCGGCACTGATGAGCTCATCTGCCAGGCACTCAGCAATGGTCTTGATGTTCCGGAAGGCAGCCTCATGAACGCCTGCGCCCAGCAGCCAGTTGGCCTGAGTCACCCGGGGCAGTGGGGACACGTCCACAACCTGTCGTCTCACAGTCCCGGCTCGCCCCATGAGCGTGGAGTCCTCCCGGGGACCAGTGTTGATGACGGCGTTCACCAGGAGCTGCAGAGGGTTCTCGCCTGTGAGCAGGTGGATGAAATCGAAGGCATGCTTGACGATGCGCGCAGTCGTGAGCTTCTTGCCATCGCTGCGGCCATGCATCGTCACGGAGCTAGTGACGCGCTCCACGATGGGGCACTGAGCTTTGCAGAAGCGTTTCGCGGCATACCGCCCTGCACTGTGAGGCAGGTACTTGGCATACTTCTCCTTCACTGCAATGTTATCCTGCAGGGAAATGTCATTGAGCTGCACATCATCGGTGCACCACTTCCCAAAGAGCTTGCTGTCAGGGGTCTCTGCTGCCGCTGGTGCTCCTGTCTCCCACTGGGTCATCCTGAGAGCACAGCTGGAGCGTGTCCGTCGCTCGCGTGGAGCACGCGCCGCTCTGTACAGACAGGAAGACTGACTACCATTCTGGCTGAGCACAGGGCTCAACCACCAGGACACTGGCCACAGCACCCTCCAAGCTGCAGACGGCTCACTCACCCTTGCCCCAGCGGACACCGACGGCCCTTCCTGGTTCATATTGTTCATGTTGTTCCCTTCTAACTGGAGTCTATGGGAAAATCCCAGTCACAGCACCTGGGTCACATGCTTGCACCCAGTAGCATGGAGTCTGGGAAAGGAATTTGCAGACTCTGTTGTAAGGAAGTGAACTCCTAAGTGGGAAATTGTGCAAGCATATAGGTGTGCAGTGCAGCAGGTTCCTATACATGCCCACTATGCTAATTGATTTGGTTCCTCTTTTAAAAATTATTGTGACAGATGGGCTGGTTTCAACATAGTGAAACCCTGTCTCTACTAAAACTACAAAAATTAGCCAGGTGTGGTGGCACATGCCTGTAACCCAAGCTGCTCGGAAGGCTGAGGCAGGAGAATCTCTTGAACCCAGGAGGTGGAGGTTGCAGTGAGCTGAGATCGTGCCACTGCACTCCAGCCTGGGTGACAGAGTGAGACCTTGTCTCAAAAAAAAAAAAAAAAAAAAAAATTGTGACAAACAAAAAAAAAAAAAAAAAAAAAAAAAAAAAAAAAAAAGACATTGTGACAATCAACAAAGGAGAAAGCAACCCATGGAATGGGAGAAAATGTTTGCAAATCATATATTCAATAAAAGCATACCCAAAATAAATGAGGAAATCATGCAACTCAATAGCAGAAAGCCCCAAATAACCCAGTTAAAAATGGGAAAAGGACATGAATAGACATTTTTCCAAAGAAGGCATACAAATTGGGTTGACAGGTACATGAAAATGTAGTCAACATCACTAATCATCAGAGAAATGCAGATCAAATCCACCATGAGCTATCACCTCACAACGGTTCAGGTGACTATTACCAAAAAGGCAAAAACTAACAAGTGTTGGCAAAAATGTGGAGAAAAGGAAACCCTCAGCAATCGTTAGTGGGAATGTAAATTGGTACAGCCATTATGAAAAACAGTAGGGAGGTTTCTCCAAAAAATAAAAATAGTACTACCATATGATCCAGCAGTCCTACTTCTGGGTATATATCCAAAGGAAATGAAATCACTGTCTCCAAGAGATAGCTGCACTCCCGCGTTCACTGCAGAATTATTCACCATAGCCAAAGTGTGGAAACAACTGAAGTGTTTATCCATAGATGAATGGATAAAGAATAGAAGACACAAATAAATTAATTGTTCTGATATGTTTAGACTCCAGGGCCTCTCTATGGAAAGGTCAGCTTCTTATCCAGAAAAGATAATATTCAAAACAAAAAACAGGTATTTGAGACAGTCACTGTTCAAGACAATGACTGAACTTACACACAGGGAGGAGAAATAAAAAGCCAGTTTCAGCCGGGTGCGGTGGCTCTCACCTATAATCCCAGCACTTTGGGAAGCTGAGGTGGGCAGATCACTTGAGCTCAGGAGTTCGAGACCAGCCTGGCCAACATGGTGAAACTTTGTGTCTACTAAAAACACAAAAATTAGCCGGCATGGTGGTGTGCATCTATAGTCCCAGTTACTCAGGAGGCTAAGGCAGGAGAATTGCTTGAACCCAGGGTACAGAGATTGCAGTGAACCAAGATGGCACCACTGCACTCCAGCCTGGGCAACAGAGTGAGACTCCATCTCAAAAAAATAAGTAAATAAAATAAAAAGGCTGTTTCCCTGTTTCCTTTAGTGTGTGTGTGTTGCCTAAAGGGATGAGGCTCATTTTGGTGAAAAATGCTTTCATGCAGAACATTTTGAATTCTTTCACTTCCCTCCGTAAATGTTTCAGGCCCTGACCTGAACAAGGAAATCAAAATAAGGTAACACTGGCTTCACACAAACCTGAAAACTATAATCTAACTGTACGTACAACTTCTTTACTTTAAAGAAATTTCAAAGTCCATTTACCTATGCCAAATCAGTAGACTGAATTTTCTCTTGTAGGAAGTTTTTAGCCAAATTAAAATTAATTTAATCTCACTTTAAAGTGCAAGAAAGAGGCCAGGCGCGGTGGCTCAAGCCTGTAATCCCAGCACTTTGGGAGGCCGAGGCGGGTGGATCTCGAGGTCAAGAGATCGAGACCATCCTGGTCAACACGGTGAAACCCCGTCTCTACTAAAAATACAAAAATTAGCCGGGCATGGTGGTGCGCACCTGTAGTCCCATCTACTCGGGAGGCTGAGGCAGGAGAATTGCTTAAACCCAGGAGGCGGAGGTTGCGGTGCTCCGAGATCGTGCCATTGCACTCCAGCCTGGGTAACAAGAGCAAAACTCCATCTCAAAAAAACAAACAAAAACAAAAATAAAAATTGCAAGAAAGGATTTGCAAGACTGACTAGCGTTTGTTCTGTGGCCAAGAAAGAGGAGCATGCCTCCGCCAGCACTGGCCTAACAGGTGCCACATGAAGAACAGGCTTCAGGACAGTGATCCATCAGGTCTACCAAAAAGCAGTGGGACTCCAGGTTCAGCCTAGAAAGAGGGGTCACTGCTAAGTCTGACTTTTACCAGACAACCTAGATCCCAAACAGATCTTGGGTCCCCAACTGACGAGGCTGGAGCACAGTGCCGGGAGTCAACAGGGCCAGAGTCGTCCCAAAGAGTCAGTGATCTTTGTTGAATTTATTTTTAAATTTTTTTAGTAGAGACAGGGTTTCACCATGTTGGTCAGGCTGGTTTCAAACTCCTAGCCTCAAGTTATCCACCCACCTTGGCCTCCCAACGTGCTGGGATTATAGGCGTGAGCCACTGCACCTGGACATTTTGTTGAATTTTTTAATTGATATATAATAGCTGTACATATTTTGGGGGTACCTGTGATATTTTGATAGATGTATACAATGTCTGATGATCAAATCAGGGTAATTGGGAAATTCATCCCCTCAAATGTTTATCTGTCCTTTGTGTTGGGATACTCCTGTGGACACCCTTTCCTCTCCCCCTGGTGGTCAGTACTATCTTGACTTTTGTTGTTAGTCATTTTCTTACTGCAACTAACGATTATTTAAATTATTAATTTTGAGATAGTACAAATTCACAGGCAGGTGTGTGTCCTTTGCCTGTATTCTCCAATGGTAAATCTTACAGAATTAGAGTATGATATCACAAGCAGGATATTGACATTGAGACAATCCGCAGCTTTTATTCATATTTACCCCGTTTTACCTGTACTCATTTGTGTATGTGTGTGTGTGTGTGTATGTGTGTGTATTTAGTTCTATACAATTTCACCAGGCAACGTAGGCTTGTATATCAACCACCACAGTCAAGATACTGAACCGTTCCAATGCCACAAGAATATTTTGTGTCTTCCTTTTACAAATCCTTAACTCCTAGCAACCACCAATGTTTTCTCCATTTTTGTAATTTTGTCATTTCAAGAATGTTATATAAATGGAATCATAAAATATGTAAACTTTGAGATTGGCTTTTTTCATTCAGCATAATTCCTTTGATATTCTTCCAAATTGTCGATTGTTGTCTAATGGTTTTCTTTTTGTTGTTGTTGTTGTTGTTTTTGTTTGTTTGTTTTTGTTTTTTGAGACTGAGTCTTGCTCTGTTGCCCAGGTGGGACTGCAGTGGCAGGATCTTGGCTCACTGCAATCCTCGCCATTCAGGTTCAAGCAATTCTCTTGCCTGAGACTCCCGAGTAGCTGGGATTACAGGTGTGTGCCACCACGCCCGGCTAATTTTTGTATTTTTGTAGAGACAGGATTCCACCATGTTGGCCAGGCTGGTCTTGAACTCCTGACCTCAAGTGATCTGCTTGCCTTGGCCTCCCAAAGTGCTGGGATTAGAGGCCTGAGCCACCATGCCTGGCCTTTTGCTTGATGGTTTTAACACATGTGTTTGCATTCCTAAATAACATATTGTTCACTATTATGTGTTTTAAAAAATAATTTGAATATTATAATTTTTTGTAATTTACTTTTTTCATTCAACTATACTTTTGATTGTGTGGCTTTATTGAGTGTGTGTGGCTGTGGGAGCCATTTATTTTTATTGCATAAATTTATCACAATTTATTCATCCAATTAGTTATTGATAGGTATTTGGATTGTGTTTTTTATTTTTAGGTTGAGTTTTCATTTTTTGGAGTATTATGAGTGATGATACTATGAATATTCTTGCCTGTGACTCTTGGTACATGATGTATGACGTTTTCTAGATTAAAAATGTGTTTTGGAATTTCTGGCTCAATTTTGCTAAATAAAGCCAAATCCATTGCTTGCCTTCACCAACAGACTCCTAGATTTTTGTCAGTCTGATATAAAACAGTATTTCATTGTCATTTTAATTTGCAATTTTTCTTGTTTATGAATGAGATTGAGCATCTTTTTTTTGAGACGGAGTTTCGCCCTTGTTACCCAGGTTGGAGTGCAATGGCACGATCTCGGCTCACTGCAACCTCCGCCTCCTGGGTTCAAGCAATTCTCCTGCCTCAGTCTCCCGAGTAATTGGGACTACAGGCGTGCACCACCATGCCCAGCTAATTTTTTTGTATTTTTGGTAGAGATGGGGTTTCACCATGTTGACCAGTGTGGCGATCTCTTGACCTCGTGATCCACCCACCTCAGCCTCCCAAAGTGCTGGGATTATAGGCGTGAGCCACCGTGCCTGGCCCTGAGCACCTTTTTATATGTTGATGATCATTCATGTTTTCCTGGAAATGCCTGTTCACGTCTTTTGCCATTTTCCTATTGAGTTTATCTTTTTAAAAAATTGATTCATAAGAGTTCTTTATATATTCTGGGTTCAAATCCTTTGTAAGAGAAATGTATTCCAAAAGTTTTCTCATTTTATTGTTTAGTGTATCACTCTCCTTATTGTGTGTTTTCAAAAAGACATTCTTAATTTGTCAACAAATTTATCAACATTTTCTTTTTTAAGTTCCCAATCCTTCAAGGTGGAAACCCTTTTTCTTTTGTGATTTATTTTTTGGGCATTTAAGAAA